TCCTGGGAGATGTAGAACAACAAACTTTATGAAAATTCAGAAAACTGAATGTTTCTTTTACTGTTATAGCAAACAAGCTTAGCAAGCAATTTATATAAAAATGTTTATAATTGCACTACTTATGATAGTAAAACTTCTCAGACAGTCACAAACTGGGAACCAGTTGAGAAGACAATGCTATATTACATTATTGGAATGTTATAATGTTATTAAAATGATAGACTATAAATAGATTTATCTAAAAGTCTATATGCAATTACTGGTGGTTAACATATCTTTATGTACCTAAGTATAGGTTTAAAAGGTCTTTTTCTCAAATCCCAGATTCGAGAGATCTTTGAGAGACCTTGAATTGGGAGATCCTTAAGAGACCATCTTGTTTCATGAACTAAGAGACTGGGAAAAACACCAATGTGAAAATCAACAGGCACTGAGGGACTTCTGTATCTTCTAGTCAGTCCTAAAGAGATCACCTGAAATGTATTTTGGCGACATTATTTTATCTTCTTGTTATCAAGTTTGAATTAAGAAAAAGTGTTATTTTTCAATGAACACAGTCAAATATATTCATTCATTCAATCATTCATTCACTCAAGTGACTATAACAGCCCCAGAATTTTGAGACAGCCAAACATATATGGCATTTTTCTCAACTTGGACTCTGCTGTTTCACTCATCTGGGGCTGTACAAGTTAATTGGACTCCTTTCTTCTGCATAAATTACTCTCTCTGTGGGCCTGCTTTCATAGAATGGTGACAAGGAGGAACTCATAACTCAGCAAGGAAAGATCACGTAGAAAACAAATCTGGATGAAGGTGGCAGCATGTGACCCTAGTCCCCAAAAGCTGCCTTTCTGCTTAACACTGCCCAGCTCTGTTGGAAGCACCTGGAACTTCCAACCCCAATGCTGTCATAATGCTGGAAAGAACTAATTTCACAGCAAAAGAAAACACAGAATGAATACTTTCTGCACTGTCCAAAGTTACCACGTTCTGGGAACAATGTCAAGAGTCTATTTCTTGAATCTCTAGTGTCAGAGAAATCATATTTTTTGAGTTATGATTAGATGTTTTTCACAATTTTTACATGTTTTATGAACTCCTTCAGGACCCACATCTGTCTTTACTTTCTTATAAGGCCCCTACTGTGCATCGAATGAATGTTATTTGATATTAAAACATCCAAAAAATTTCAACTCTTGGACATTCCTCTTCAAATATATTCATGCTTATTTCACTTTGAGTCCTTAAAGGTTTTCAAACATATTTCAACATGTAGTTTAGATATAATTTTGAAAATATTAAATCTTCAAGCACCAAATCCTATAGGTTTATGATACTTTGTGTAAGTCAAAGATTTAATATTCAGAGTAATTTATCTAAATTCTGGTTTTACAAATTGTGTAAACCTGATTTTGGTAAATTAGGTCATTTAAAATATGTTCGATAAATCTCATGTTTGGGTATATATCCAAAAGAACTGAAAACAGGATCTCAAAGATATATGGGTACATTCAGGTTCATTGCCACACTGCTTATAACAGCCAAAATGTGGAAGCAATTTAAATAGCTGAATCCTAGGGACTGCATAAAACAAAGCAAAACAAAACAGAAAAACCTTGTCATGTTACAGCATAGATAAACCCTGAAGGATGAACCCCGAGTACATTATGCTAAGTGAAATAAGCCAACCAGAAAGACAAATAGTATAAGCCTCCACTTATTTGAGGAAGCTGAAATAGTCACTCATAAACAGAGAGTAGCATGTTGATTGCCATGGGCTAGGGTATGAGGAGCGAGAAATGAGAGTTGTTCAGTGGGCACAGAGTTTCAATCATGCAAGATGGAAAAGTTCAAGAGATCAATTGTACAACATGTGCCAAGACATAGTTAATAACACTGATCTTTACACTTAAGAACTGTTAAGAGAGGCTGGGGTGTAACTCAGTGGTATAGCACTTTGCCCAGCAAGTGTGAGGCCCCAGTTCTACCCCTAACATCACAGGAAAAAAATTAAGAAGGTAAATTGATGTTATGTGTTTTTTAACACACACACTTCAAGCATGGAGAGAAATATGGGAAAACTGACAACTGACTGGCTCTCTCACTCTCCACCCCCAGGCAATCCATTAAAACCTTAGGAAGGACTCTAGACTTCTATCTGTGATGGCAGAGGGTATTGTCAGTATAGAAACACAGAAGAGGTCTTGACACAGGCTAACAGCTAGCTACCTAGACCATAGGTAATTAACTTATTCTCTAAGATGTCTATGTGTGAGAGAAGAGCAAACATATTGGGAAAATGAGAAGATGTTGTCATTGTGATTAAATAGATGAAGATAAATACCAAGCACTCAGATAAGCCTCAGTACAAACCATAGATTAAAAAGAGAGAGAGAGAGAGAAGCTCGGTGTGGTGACGTATCCCTATAATTCCAGCACTCAGGAGGCTGAGATAGGAGGACCATCAACTCCAAGGCCAGTCTAGGCTATAGAGTGAGTTCACAGCCCACCTGGACTGATACTGAGACTGTCTCAAAAAACAAACCAACCAAACAACCTTAAAAAAGTAGGTTCCAGTCTGAAGAGAACTGGAGAGCGGAAATGCTGCTTCACTGGGAAGGCACACCCAGGCGGCCTGCCGCATGCTTCCCAGAGAAACCCTAGGCTGTAGTGGCCCTGGTGAAGAGGGGCCAAAACTGCTCCAGGCAGTGAAGGCAGCTGTTTTTAAGGCTCAAGAACCTGGAGATTTTGTGACTCTCCCAGGATCCCAGGCCAGTGAGAGCAGGAATATTCATATAGAGACCAGGGGGACTCTAGAGATCAGGGAGGGTCTCAGGGCTGGGAGGAGGATGGACCTGCCCCAGTGGGAAACAGCCCCCCACCCCAGTGCTGCACCAGAAGTGATGCAATCAGCTCTGCCTTGACAGAAAGAGGATGTGGGGGGGTTACTACAGGATCTGGGATGTGACAAAGGGGAGCTTTATGGCTCTTAAAAGGCTGACTGTTCTCGGTGACCTGATTTCCGGCTGAGCAATGGAGATGGTGGGGTCCCTGCTGGGCATGAATTTCTGTGATGGTAGAGTTTGTGGAGAAATACAGAGGAGAAATCATAATCATGCAAAACATGTAGAGGTTTTTTTTTGTTTTGTTTTGCTTTTTTGTTTTTTATGGTACTGGGATTGAACCAAGAGTCTTCACATTGGGCTACATCCCCAGCCCTGTTCTTTCTTTCTTTTTAAAATTTCTAGTTTAACTGTTAGTAGTACACATTTGCAGTGCATAATGATCACATTCATTATGAGGAGCTGGCATGTGTATATAAAACATCTTAACTCTTTTTACATCCCCTTCCCTTCTTCTCCCTTCCCACTCTTTTTTTATTTTAAATTTTGAGACAGGGTCTCAATAAGTTGCCCATGTTGGGCTCAAACTTTCAACCCTCCTGCCTCAGCCTCCAAAGTTCTGGGCTCACAGATGTGTGCCACCATGCCTGGCTGAACAGCAGAGTGAGGTCCTTGCCATCCACATTCTTCCCTTCATTCTACTCATCCCAAATAGACAGTGCCCTATATTTCTCCATTATAGTTCATGGAAAAGAGTGAGGAAAGAATCTTCAGAATCATGTCCTTTCGTTCCCTTCATCCTAAAAATGAGAAAACCAAGACTCAAAGGATTTAGAGGACCTCTCCAAGATGCAGGACTCTAAGCTCAAACACATCCCTTCATCCCATGGGGACTATTCAGGGCTCCTTTCGCATCTTCTGAAGCATGTTCTTCTGTCCTGCTTTTTGCAGTTGGGTTTGTTTTTTGTAGTGCTGGGAACTGAACACAAGGCTTCATGCATACTAGGTAAGTGCTCTACCACTGAGCTATATACTTCCACCCCCTTTACATACAGATTTGTTTTCTATTTGTCTGTCTGTTTGTTTGTTTGTTTGTTAATTGAGACAGGGTCTCACCATCTCAAGGCCTCAAGTTGGAGGTGATCCTCCTGCCTCAGCCTCCTGAGTGCTAGGATTACAGGCATGTGCCACCATGCCTGGCTCATAGTTTTCTTCTCCCTCTCCTCCCTCTCCCTCTCCCTCTCCTTGAGACAGGGTCTTGCTGTGTAGTTCAGGCCGGCCTTGAGCTTGCAGCAATCCTCCTGACTCAACCTCCAACTGCTGAGATTACAGGCATGGACCATCATGCCCAGCTCTACACAGTTTTCATAATCATCGTTTTAACCACTTTTTCTATTGCCAGCCTCCTGAAGGAGTGTGTGTGTGTGTGTGTGTGTGTGTGTGTGTGTGTGTGTGGTTCTGGGGACTGAACTCAGGGCCTCTGCACTGAGCTACATTTCCAGCCATTTCTTTATTTCTTATTTTGAGACAGGGTCTTGCTAAGTTGCCAAGTTGCCCAGGCTGGTCTTAAATTTGTGCTCCTCCTGCTTCAGCCTTTCAGAGGCTAGGATTACAGGGATGCATCACTACACCCAGCAAAGTACTGGCTTAAACGAGAAATATTTGCTCTTCTTACCAATGAGGACTTATTTATTCACAGAAATAAAAATAATCAGAAGCAGGTGAAAAGTTAAAAAGGAATTAAAGTAGATCTCTGATTAATTTCCTCATAGGGATCTCACCAGAGCATTTCAGTTTTCATTATGATTACTTAAAAACTATCACAAAACATTGAATACATGAGTTTTCACTGACTAATATTTTAAGCATCCATTCCTGTACATTACAATTTCCTATAAAATTGTGGTTTCCTATAAAATTTTACTCTTGTCATATGGTATCTTATAAAATTTCATTCTTTCAAACACTGTTGGTAGGATCTGCAACAACTTTTTAATCATGTGAAGACATAACATCTATGGCTTTTGTTCTCTAAGCTTCCATTTTTAGCACCTTTTAGCGTGAAATGGTAGTTGTCAGAAACAACATAATATTGAAGGAGGGAACAAAAGCAAACCTCTGACCCATATCAGTAGAAAAGAAAAACACACTTACCTGAGGCGGGAGTCCTTAAAAGTATCGAGATAGGCAGGGTAGCTCCATCCTATCTTACTTCCTTTACATCGAAGCTCTACAGTCTGCCCCGCTGCCAGACTCAGGGTAGCAGCAGGTCTCTGGAAGCGACCTTTTTCTGTCACTTGCATCATGATAGACTGACTCTTTGGCGTTGAATCTGCTGTGTCCCTGTCTTTTATTTTAGGAACTTTGGGTTTCACCTTTTTGTTGGTCGGTTTGATTCTATTCTCTCCTTGCTCCTTTGGCTGCTTGTTTTTGGGAAGGTGTTGGGCAGCAACTGTATAAATGTGAGGAGACAGCAGTCATGCGACGGTTGTGGCATTCCCAGAATACATGAAACCCAGAGCTGAGAACTTTCAGACACTGCCCACTTCATAGGTCACAATTATTTTCAGTAATAATCATATAATAATCATTGTAGTCTTGATCCATTCTTCAGTTTAAAAACAACAATTAAAAGGACTCTACTTCAGCTTCAAAGACATAATTCAAATTTAGTGAAATACGTATGAACTAAAATTTGCCCTTACAAAACAAAATATCATTCCTCATAGTTCACAGTCTGTCTCAAAATCACGGTCACACGGAAGGGCAGGACTGAAGCCCCTCAGTGTGTTTTTGACCTTAGCAATCCCTGTGTTTTCATTGTTCACTTTCAATCTATTAGTTAAATTCAGAGATGTGTAGTTTCACATGACTAGGCACACAAATAGGACCAGAAGTGTGCTCAAAAGATTCTGAACTCTCTCAAAATGAAAGTGTAGTGTGGACTGTATGTTTGTCTGGGGCTAAAAATGTCCATCTAGAATAGAAGATTTATTAAAGAATAGATTCTCAATGTGTGTCAATTTAAAGCTTAAGTATAAGTCATCAAAACTCAAGTCAACTGTGCTAATAGTTTAGAGTTTGGCCAACAAAATTGATAGGTCTCCCACTACCTCAGCAGCTATTATGTATAGTAGCTGCCCTCTTCCTATCGTGCCTTGCCCCCTCCCCTGTATGACGTCATGCCAAGATGGTTGCTCCCACCAAAGAATAAACCCTTCTTCCCAGCATGCCCCTGTTCCCGCCTAGAAAGTAACCTAAAAAGCTCACTTCCTACCACCTAGTGACATCACCGGCTTCTCCATTCCCTAGTCACTACCTCACTCAACCCCACCTCGGCCCCTACAAACCCCACCCCAGTCTCTATAAAAGACTCTCCCTGCCCCCAGCCATATTGCTTTTGTCTCTCCTTTGTTCAGAGACAGCCGGGCAGATCTATTCCCCTAATAAAGGCTTGTTGTGGTCTGGTCTGGTCTTGGTTTTCAGCCCTTTTACCTGACAAAAATATTTTTGGAGGAGGAGTACGTTATCACCAACACTGTTGAGAGTCACTGGCAAATAGTGATAATAAAAAGCTGACCTACTTTAAGTTGGCTTTCTCATTGTTTTTGCCCTGGCTGCTGACAATACACTCCTTATTGCCTGCGCCCAGGGAGAGTGGCTCCCACTGCTCCGCCCTTCTGCAAGCTACTGGGCTCCAAAAATCTCAGCTGTACAACTGTATCCACCCAGCAAGGATGAAAGGTAACTGTATACCTAAGTTTCAGTTGACCCATCTGTCCGCATAAGCTCACAAAATGCCTTGATATCTTCCCACAGAATGGCAAAAACATCCACATTTATAGGATCCCTAGGAATCATCTAATTAAAGTCTTTCAGGCTGTGGATTAAAATAATAACAGGTACTCTTAAAAAGTGTAGTCATACCATGCCTATGAGATCAATGGACCTCTGGATTGATGTCTAATTTGGTGTGTTTTCTTTATCATGTAACAAGAATTCAAGTGATTAAAATGACAGTAAATTCAATGTAATTTAGGCAACCAGTGCTACTTGTCTGAATTCTGAGCTATCAGAACCTATACTACTCAGGAACATCAGATTATCTGGTTATAGATAGTATGTACCCACATATTTGTTATTATACCTGGCCTTTGAACCAAAAGGCCCACCAGTTGATTTTACTGTGTCATTGCTCAGTGGCCTGACTTCAGAATTGGTCAGTGTTTGATGGTATTGGCATTAAGTTAATCAGCCTAAAGACTTGGGGGTGTAGCTCAGTGGGAAAGTATAGATTTAGCATGTGTGATCCTGGGTTCAACCCCTCCCCCAACACACACACACATGCGCCCGCGTGCCTAGTGGCCCTACAGACACCCAGAGTGTCCTGGAAAAAAGTGACTCCTGAGTATTCTGTCAAACTTTCAAAAAGAATATGACTTTGGCCTAAGTAAATTAGTTATATTCCAAAGCCTTAAAAATGTAAGAATTTATATTCTAAATAAGTGAAAATGAAAATCCATTATGACTCTTTTTTTTTCCTGGCCTATCATGATTCACTTTTGAGACAATCACATACTATATTTTATAGAGGAAATAGGTAGCAAAATTCAGAATATGAAATATTTTTGACTTCCAGTTCCAGCTTGCTAGCTGTGTGGCCCTGGAGAGTTAATTGCCCTCTTTGTCTGAGGTTCCTCATCTGTTAACTGAGGATAAAAGTAATAATTACTCTCATAGATTTTTGTGAAAATTAAATGATGTAATTAATGTAAATTTGTGAAAATTAAATAACATAATTAATGTAAAATTAACATGTTTACAATGCTGAGAATAGTGTTTGGCTCATACTAAATGCTAGTGAAGTGCAACTTGTTTCGTGGTTATCTCATGTGACTCCATGATAAACTGGTGGTAGAAGCAAAGTACTATAGCTATTTTTCCACTTACGGATGCCAAGTAGTTCATCCCAGTTCATCAAGAAGGTAGTAAAAAAGTCAGATCCTGTTACTCCAAGTCTAGAGCTTTCCACGGTTCATGCTATCATTCATTCATTTAAATATTAAAATATTATTGCAACTTCACCTTGTTTGCACACACCTCAGGCATAGCATCATTGTCTGGGTGTTTGTCCCATAGCCCAGCCCTTAAAAATGCATTCCAAGCCAAACAGAACTTGATGCTGGGGACAGCAGCACGAGGCCCAGAGATGCTTTTCCAAGGCATGTATTAGCACCCCTAAATGAGGAGAGGCTGGTCCAAAGCTCCCACGGACAAAGCAAAAGGCAGCAGGGAAGGCACAGGTATTATTCAGCACCAAGTGAGGATTATAGTCAGACTTTATTCATTTGAAGTCACCTGGCTATTAACCTCTCTAATTCCATAGAACTGAGTTGGAGGAAAAAGTAGTCTTTAGAAGACTCTATGCTGTTTTGAGGGGGATTTATATGTTAAACACAGTCATTTACATCAAAGAGCTGTAGCTGTTTGTTTTTTCCTTCCTGATGGGCAGTTAAGGGAAAGGCTATGCTTGAGGGTAGTACAGAAAGCATTAGAAACTTTCTAAATAGTTTAGCTGCTTCCTCCAAGATAGACCAGAGACTTCCACTTTCCTTTTTCCATTCTTCCACAGTCCCCACAGGAGCACACACACACTTTTGCAAGAGCAAAGCTGAAAAGGTGGGAAAGTGACAAGGGAGATAAAAAGGTAGAAAGATCAGACCCTTTCCATTGCCTACTTCCTTTGAAAACCTCACTCCAGAAAACCCTGTTACCACTTTTAAAGTATCATTTTCACAAAATAGAAGAGAAATAGCTACTTCTATTCCAGGATAAAATTTGAAGCATTTCCCAGAACATCTAGAACACAGCTGAAGACTCTCTTCCTAAAAATCTTTTGGCTCCTAGGGCATCATGCTGTCTTGGATTTCTTCACCTCGGACAACTCTGCAGTCTCTTCTGCAGCTCTTCCTCCTCTTTGTTTCCTGCACATCCTGAGTCCTAGGACTTAGTCTTAGCAACTTCTAACTCTCACTCCCTCTCTGTGGTACCTCACACTGTTCTACATGGCTTTAGCCGTGTTTGCAAGCTGAAAGCAGCCCTTCCTTTGCCTCTAGGCCTCTGATTCCCAGATCTGAATATTCCATTGCTTACCCAGCACTGCCAAGGCAGGATCACCAGGCGTCTCAAATTTAACGAGTCCCAAAGTGACCTCCGGATGCCTCTTCAGACCTGCTCCTTCCCTAGGGCTCTCTCTATCAGTAATCACAACTCTGCTCACCTAGTTGCTCAGGAAAGAAACCAGGCCTCACTCAATCCTTTGCTTTTTCTCCTAAGCCACACCCCACTCAGCAGCAAATATTTTTGGTTCCAACTTCAAAATAGTCTGAACCCACACTGTTTCCTTCCATCCACGGCTACCATTCTGGACCAAGCTACTTTTCACCCAGACTATTAAACCACCCTGTAGGTAGGTTCCTGGCTGCCACCCTAGCACTCTAACCTTTGAAAACTTAAGTCAGACCATGGGCACTTCTTTGCTCAAGCCCGCCATGACATTCATCTAATTGAGAAGAAAACACTGTCTTCCTGTTCCCTGTAAGACTTTGCCACCTCCTGTCTCACAATCAATCATCCTTCAGCCGCCCTGACCACCTAGGCACCACTGCACTCCTCACATCCTTGGCCTGTGCAGGGCTTCTCTGACATCTGCAGGGGTTGCTCCCTCACCTCAGGCAGCTTCCGACTCTCCATCCAAACCACACCTTTGCTCCCCTCTCAACTCTCGCTCTGGGTTATTGATTGATTTGTGTCCCTTGATGAGATAAACTGAAGTCCTGACCCTGGTACTTGTGATTGGGACTTCATTGGGAACAGGGTCTTTACAGACAAAATCAAGTTAAGGTGGGGTCATCAGGATAGGCTGTGATCCAAAACAACTGATGTCTGTATAAAAGAGAAGAGACACATGAAGAAGAGAATGCCACGCAAAGACAGAGACTCACAGAGAGATGATGTCCAAGTGGCCACAGAGGCAGAGGTTGGAGTGACGCAGCAGCAAGCTGAGGAGTGCCAAGGGTTGTTGGGCACCAGCCAGCAGCTAGGAAGAGGCAAGAAAAGATTCTATCTGGAGTCACAAAAGCAGCAAGGCCCTGCTGATGCTTTGATTTTGGATTCTGGGCTCCAGAACTGTGAGAAGGAAACTTCTGTTGTTTCAAGCCACCTGGCTCATTGCACAGGTTGAACATCCCTAATCTGAAAATCCCAAATCCAAAATGCTCCCAAATGTGAAGCTTTTTGAGCCCAGAATGATACCACAAGTGTAAAATTCCATACCTGACCTCATGTGACATGCCACAGGCAAAACGCACGCGAGCTAAACATATTGTACAAAATTAGCTTAAGGTTATGTGCATAAAATATAAATGCAGCATAAATGAATTTCGTGTTTCGACTTGGGTCCCCTCCCCAAGATAGCAGATTTTGTATATGAAAATATTCCAATATCTGCAACACTTCTGGTCTCAGGCATTTCAGATAATGGATATTCAACCTGTACTTGGTTACAGTAGCCCAAGGAGACTAATATACCTGATCAATGATTTTTATGTGACTTGTTGCTTCTAGAAATTTGATCTCGTTTGTTATCTGTCTTCTCCATTTGACTATGAGTACCACAAAGACAGAGCTTTTTAACCTAATCATGGCCATTATCTTGCTTGTCTTACCTTCTTGAAGATCTGGTCATATTGCCTTCATACCATAATGAAACTCTCAGAAAGAAAACTCTTTCATAAGATGTAAAATAAGCCCACATTAGACCAAATAACAAATTGGCATGAATTAAGGGCTGGTGTAGTTCAACAAAACAGCTGTAACAAATTAATATTTATGCCTCATCACTTGCTCCTGACATTGAATATAAATTTTTAAATAACCAAAAGTTTGTAAATTCCTGTGATTCTACCTTTTTTGTTTTGAAGACAGGGTCTCCCTATGTAGTCCAGGTTGACCTTGAACTTAAGATAATCCAGCTTCAGCTTCACCAGTGCTGGAATTGCAGACACATGCCACCACACCCAGCTGATTTTATATTTTAACATGAAAATGGCAGTGCCATATCAATGTACACAGGATACATAATCCATAGAAAGACTGAAAACCAGGTGCTTGTGAGCAATGTTTGACTCTAACTGAAATTTTAGGCAATTCATTAACATTTTTATGCCATGGGTATATGTGCCCTCCACCTCCCCATTTCATGGAGAAAAATAATATTGTAATAATTTCAGAATTGGACAAGGCAGACTTTGCTGGGTTTGGACAGATGTCCACTCCCATTTGTACTTTCAAGAAAGCCTTTTCCTCTTAGAAGGCTCTCTCTCAGATGTGGTCAGAAAAACGGAAAGTCAGTGGAACAAGTGGAGTCATGGCCGCCTGTCCATAGTTTGAGCTTTGGGATGGCTCAGTGGGCAGCATATCCTAACCTGCCAATCAGAGACACCGAAAGGGCTTTCTGTATCACCCATTCTCATTGGTTGCTCCAGGTCCCAGACTGCCTCGCAACTCAAAACAGGAAAAAAAAATACTTGACAGGGTTAGGACAACTGTTATATAACTTAGTGGAGCAAATTTGATTTTTCAAGTATGTGCTCAACATTTTATCCATAGCCCATCATATAAATATACTTTAAAAAACAAAATCTCAATGCTGTTACCACACCTAAAATTTGTCCACAATTTCTTATAAAAGATTCAGTCCATATTTAACTTTCAATGTCTGATAAATATTTATTGTATGAATTACATTTTGTTTAAACATGCTAATTTCTTTAGGCAGATGTTGGTAATATTTCACATGGTGTGGGTACGTGTTGGCTGAAGCCACCACTTGAACTCTGAGGCTGGCATCGTGGGTATATACAAACGGAATGGACTATTTTGAATTATTTTGTCTGGCATCCCCTGTCCTATTTACAAAATGATACCAGTACTGCATCTCCGCCATTCCAGCAGTCACGTACAAGGACCTGGCAGGAGTGTTTTAATACTGCATTTTACAAACTGAACTGAGGCCAGTTCTCTGGGAAAAGAGTGAATGTTGCTTGCCGAGCAGAAGCACTGCATGTGCGTTATTAAAGCCTGGTGTAGGCTTAGGACCCTCAGCTTCATCTTCAAGTTCCACAACCATCCTGGCATTCCCAAACTGGAATGTGGTACTTTTTGGCAAAAGATTGAAGTTTCATAGGAAAGGCAGGAATTGGTCAGCATTGAGGAATGGATAAAATGGGATCAAGGTTGAGCTGGCCCCAGCAAAAGGTCGCATAACAACACAAGCTGCTTTTCAGACAAATTAAGCAAATTTGTGTCTGTAGTCAACGAATTTCAAGGGAAGTTTGGAGATTCTAGGATGTAACCAGATGAAAGACGTTCTGTGCAAATAACACCAATTAAATAAATAATGGTGCAAAGAGGACTACTAAATTAGATAACAGCTATGCACATATATACGTGTATATAACAATAATACACAATGCACACATACACACAAAAATGTCTGCAGTTATGGATCTACACAACAAGGTGGACTCTTGTGTGGACAGGCACACAATTTAAAAAGTGCAGTCAGAGCCAAGTGTGGTGACCCACGCCTGTAATTTCAGCGCTCTGGGAGGCTGAGGGAGGAGGATCTCAAGTTTGAGCCCAGAGCAACTTAGTGAGGCTCTCAAACTTTACGAAAAAAAGTTTTCTCAAAATTTAAGAAAAAATTTTTCAAAATGGCTCGAGATGTAGCTGAGTGTTGGGTTCCATCCCCGGTGCAAAAAAAAAAAAAAAAGGCGCAGTGATTCACAACCCCCACACGTGGCACAAATATACATTATCTTCACCTTTTCTCCGGCCAATAAGATGGGAAGTGAAAGAAATGTAACAGCTGTGCAGTTTTGGTTTGTTTTGAGGTTTAACACATATGCAATATTTGGTCAAGGACCTAGGTGGATCTTGAGGATTTCAGACTGAGGTGGCATACAAAATAGATCCAAGATTGCGGAGGGGGAAAGGAATCAGAATTTTGCACCACAATCTGCCAGCGCGATGCCAGGGTGGCATCCGGACACAGCAGCAGAGGTCCCGGCGCCGCAGCGCCGAGGTGGACGCATCCGCCACTCCCGCGCCACCCCCAGGCCGACACGTTGACACAGGGCTTGCTCGCCGAAGGCTTTCCGGGAGGGCTGGAGCAGTGCGGACAGGCGCCCACGGGTGAAAGTGGCCACCACCTTCCCAGAGCGGGGAAGAAAGGAGCCGCTACTCTGAGGGGCAGGTGCACGGGGCAGGGCGTGGCGCGGGAGCAGAGCCGCCGAGACCGAAGTTAAAGGATCGGGCCCCGGGCGTGCGGGGTGGGGACCGGGCGAAAGCGGTGCCGGGCCAGACTCACTCACCATCCTCCAGCGCTTCGTGCACGATCAGGAGACCAAGCAGCAGCCACAGCTTCATTGCTGGGCTCGACAGGGAGAGACGTGGGGACTGTGGGCCGAGGCGAGGCGCCGGTGCGGCGGCAGCGCGGGGCAGGGCGCACGGGCTGGGGACGCGGGCGGGTGCGCGGCAGCTCGGGGCGGGCGCCTGGGCCGCCGCCGCAGGAGGATTAGGTTTCAGGAGGAGAAACAATTTGGGGGGAAAGTTGGGATTTTTAAAATTCCCTCGGTGATGTGACCTCTCCTGCCCTCTGGCGGAGCGGTGAAGAGCAGCGCCATTTCTAAGTGTGGAAGTAGATCTAAGGGGGGATGTCGGTCCCCACAGGCACTCCTTGAATTTATGCAAGCCCGGCTTTTTTGCTGAGTTTACCAGGTTCAGGAAGGCCTAGTGTGAACCTGTGGGGGTACTGATGGAGTCATGCGATTATAATTATCCCCATGTCACCCCACCTACTTAGGCAGGGTCTTGGTGTTCGATAAAAATTGCCCCCTAAATTTCTGTTCATTCCCAGAAGGTCCCTCTCTCACTTGCATTCACCAGCAGCCCTTGGTTGTTCTGGCAGCTCCTCTTGTCTCTGGCCAGGGATGCGCTGGGCATCTTGCCCTGAACCTGTCACTGCCGCTAGGAGGCGCCACAGAGGGCGAGCTGTTTGTCATCAGGCTCACAGGAGGCCAACTCCTTTCCCAGGGTCTCGCAGAGGCATTGGGAACTGCTTGTTCCTCTTGGAGGCAGAAACCTTCTTCGTGTATACAAGACTCGTTAAGTAAATGTTTAGGAAGGTCTGTACAGAAAAAAAAAAATCCAAGTAACTGCAGCAGCAGTGCCCTCCCATCTTCCCTTCTGAGTCAAGGTCAGCGTCTGAGCGCCTTGTAAATGTGGGGTTTGTTTTCTTCCAGGAGGCTCTTCAGTTCTAGCAATTGAACCCCACTCCTGTGCACATTAAGAAACCCAAAAAGGTCACAGGATGCTCCTGTAAAGCCTTTCGTGTGCTCACTGGAAAGGATACAGAGATGATGAAGATGAAAAGGAAAAAGTAATCCAAATAAAAATACAAGAAAAAGCTAAGTTGTACGATACACATTACTAATTCTACAGAAAAGTGAGGTGGGAACTCACAGAGAGAGGGGCATGGCTTGAGTTGGGAGAGCAGAGGGAAGGGCGGGGTAGAAGAAGTCCATCCCTATGGACTGGGCAGCCTCTGATCAGGAGGGCACAGGCTAAGGCACAAAGCAAGGCTGGCCCAGGAGCCCTGATAGAGCAAAGGAGAGGCAGTCGCTGTGAAAGCAGAGTGGAGAATAACACTGACCAGACAGGCTGGGCTGGGAGACAGCGGGCTGTGGTGGAGCTGAGCACTTCGGCATTGTGCCTCCCAGTACAGAGCTGGTTCTTGGGTTTGCAAATGCACACGATCAAAGCAGTCTGTAGGTGTGATGGTGCTGGTGGGAAGCAGGGCCTCCCCTGGAAGCCAGTCTCACTGGCCTTTGGCACCAAACACTACTAACTCACTTTCCAGAACAGGGGCCTTGTCCTCAGCATCCAAGGGAGGAAGTCCTGCAGTGTCAGACAAGCTAGCACTTCTCAGCCACTTCGTGCAGAAGGAACCAACATGCCTGGACTCTGTTGTCAGTTGTTGCCTAGCTTTGGCATTCATCTGCGTTGCTGTGAAGAAAACACTGCCTAGGAATAAGGGAAAGCTCCAGGCCCCCATGCTGCCAGGGACTCTCAACTCCTCTCACATCTCACTTAACCTTCTGGGTTTGGAGGTCATTTGTTTGTAAAAGCAGGGAACTAGATCTGATGACATTTCAACAGATTTGCTATGTGTTTGGTGTTATGGCTATGAAGAATAAGAGCCTCGAACTCTAGCCTGGAGACAGCACTTAGACACTGCAATGGGGTGTATCCTGTTCTGGGGAGGACTTGAGCAAAGAACTCTGGGAGTACACACACAAGTGGCTAACGCTGGGCTGCCCTGAGATCCTTTTTAATTCTGACTCTGAGTCGACTACTCTACTCTCCTTCTGTGTTGGAGCCTGAGCTTCAATCTGGACTCCTTCTCTTGCTAGGTGCTAGGTTCTGCTTGCTTTACCTGCTGCCTAAACTCCTAGTGCACCCTTCTTTTGCCATTAGCATCAAGTTTCACTGCCCTGGCTGAAGCTGTTATCCTCTCTCTTCCAAAGTGGGGCTCCAGCCTCCTGATTGATCTCCCAGTCCCTCCTTCTTTTTTTTTTTAATCAAATTCTTTTATTGGTACATTGTAGGTATACAACACAATTACATTTCTCATTGGGAATTGTACCTTTACATAATGCATCTTGGTTCTTATTTTTTCCCCATTCCTAGACCTCCCTTCACCGCCTCCACCCTTCCCTACTTACAAAGACTTAATTTCCATATTTTCCATTTCTCATCATTTTTCCTTTCCCTTCTTTCCTTTCCCCTGCCCCTCCCACTACCCCTACCCCTTTGGACCTTTTCTTCCTATTTTGCATTATCGGTTATTCATTCTAATCATTGGTACATTTTAGGTATACAATATAATGACATTCATCATTGGAAATTTGCACCTTTACATAGTCTCTCTTGGTTCTTATTTTTCACCCTTGCCCAGCCCTCCCTTCAACCCCTCCATTCGTCCCTATTTACAAAGATTTTGTTCCTATTTTTCCATTTCCTCATATTAATCCCATTCCCTTCTATCCTTTCCCCTAGCCCTCCCACTTCCTTCGCCTTTGCCCCTTTTCTTCCTATTTCACATTACCTATTATACATTTAGTCCTTATTTACACTTTCAGTTTCTCACACCAGAGAAACTATTTGGTATTTATACATGTGTGTCCTATTTGTTTCACTTAAGAGTATCACCTCAATGTGCATCCACCTAGCTATAAATGTCTCTAATTTCTCATTTTTTATGTCTGAGTAGTAATCCATTTTATTAAAAAACCACATTTTCTTTATCCAGTCTCCAGTTGATGGGCCTTTGGGCTGTTTCCAAGTTTTAGCTATCACAAACTGTGCTTCTATGAACATGGGTGCACATATATCACTGTGGTATGATTCAAAGAACCTAAAAAAATCAGACCTCCCAAATTTAAAGACCCAATCCAAAAATGGGCATCTGAAATGAACAGGCATTTCTCAGACAAAGAAGTAGAAATAGCAAATAAACATAGGAAAAAATGTTCAACATCACTAGTCATTCAAGAGCTCCAAATGGAAACAATGCTGAGATTCCACCTCACTCCAAAAAGAATGGCTGCTATCATGAAATCAACCAATAACAAATGCTGGCAGGGCTGTGGGGAAAGAGGAACCCTAGTGCACTGCTGGTGGGAGTGTAGACTGGTGCAACCACTGTGGAAATCAGTATGGAGGTTCCTCAGAGAACTAGGACAGGAAGTCCCATTTGACCCAGCTATTCCCCTGCTGGGGATCTTCCCCAAAGAATTAAAAGAATCATACCACAGTGATATATGTGCACCCATGTTCATAGCAGCACAATTTGTAATAGCTAAAACTTCAAGCAGTCTAATTGCCCATCAACTGGAGACTGGATAAACAAAATGTGGTGGATTTTTTTTAATATAAAATGGAGTACTACTTGGCCTTAAAAAATGAGAAATTAGAGATATTTATAGCTAAATGGATGCACATTGAGGCCATACTCTTAAGTGAAATAAGTGGGGCACATGTGTAAATACTGAATAGTTTCTCTTGTTTGAGAAACTGAGAGTGTAAATAAGGACTAAAAGATATAATAGATAATGTGAAATAGGAAGAAAAGGGGTGGAGGGGAAGTGGGAGGGGTAGGGGAAAGGAAAGAGGGAATGGAATTAATATGAGAAAATGAAAAAATGGAAACAAAGTCTTTGTAAATAGGGAGGACTGGAGGGGTTGAAAGGAGGGCAGGGGAAGGGGGAAAAATAAGAACCAAGAGAGACTATGGAAAGGTGCAAATTCCAATGATGAATGTCATTATATTGTAAACGTATAATTACCAATAAAATAAAATTTAAAAAGAAACTCCCAAAGTATCTTCCAAGGTGGCTATTCTAATTTGCGTTCAATTATAGCAACAAATCAGAGTTTCTGATGCTCCACATCCTCATTGGCTTTTGGTGTTGTCAGTGTGTGAGATTTTTGGCCATGCTAATGGGTGTAGTGCCTGTTTATTGTTTAATCTTAATATGTTCATTAATTGTTTAATACACAATTCGACATTTTTAATATGCTTACTTTCCATATATATATCTTCTTTGGTGAGTTACCTGGTCACATTTTTTTTTTCTTTTTTTGGTACTGGGGATCGAACTCGGGTCCTTGTGCTTGCGCTGCAGGCAGCGAAACCACTGGGCTAAATCCCCAGCCTCTGGTCACATTTTTTTGCCCGTTATTTAATTGGTTTGTTTTTTTCATTATTTGTGATGAATTTTGCCCAATAAAGCTGATATAAAAGGGAAGAGGGTAGAATCTAAAGACTGCAGATCATAGACCACAGACTAGGTCTGAATTTACTACTCACTAATTATGTGAATTTGGGTGGATTTCTTGATTTCTCTGTGCCTTGGTTTCTTCATCTTTAAAATGAATGTAATGTGACCTGTCTCATTGTGTCAGTTGTTTTTTTTTTTTTTGTCACTGTGACCATTTAAAGAAGGAAAGATTTATTTTGGCTTACAGTTTCAGAGGTTTCAGTTCACAGTTGCTTGGCTCCATTGTTTGTGGAGCATCTTGATGGAGAGGGGATGGTGGAGCAAAGCTGCTCACCTATAGTAGCCAGGAAGCATAGGGTCAGTGAGAGTAAGAGAGAGGGACCAGGTGTAAGATATTCCAAGCCTCTGCTGTTATATTCATGTGAGTGAAGCTGAAGTTCTTATTTTAGGTTTGTGTTATAGGCCGAATTGTGTCCTCCGCAAAATTTGGGCATTGAAGTCCTAACTCTCAGTGCTTCAGAATGTGATATCTGGGAAAGGGTCTTTAAAGAGGTAATTAAATTTAAATGGAAATTTTGAGGTTGGGCCCTGATCAAAGATACCTGGTGGAAATTTGGACAGGCACATTGGAATATGCAGAAGACTGGAGACAGAGGGAGAATATGGGCATCTAAAAGCCAAGGAGAGAGGCCTCCGAAGAAAGCAAGTCTGCCAACACCTTGATCTCAGACTTCTAGCTTCCACAACTGTGAGAAAATAGAGTCTGCTATGTAAGCCACACAGTTTGCAGGAATTTGTTATAGCAGCCCTAGGAAACTAATACTATGGGGTCTATATTAGGTAGAAGCAGGCTTCCTGAGACATGTAGCTGCTTAACCACAGGGCTTATTATTCTTGAATGAGACAAATCTCAAATGGCTTTGAATTTTAATAATAAAACTGTCAAAACTATATTTTAATGGGGTTTATTTCACTAAAAAACCCAATGTGCTTTGTCTCTAGGGTAAGAAAGAATTTTACCACTAGAATCTCCATGTTGATCTTTTCTATTCTTTTTCCAATAAGTGCTGCTCTGCTAGCCAATTAAAATAAGAATTATCTTGCAATTCTAAAACAAATACAACTTGATGCCTGATTTCCTAAGGCATGATTAATTTTTGAATGTTTAGCTTATATTTGATCACCTTAATGAACTTTTATTAGTCTAAAAAGTTTTCAGTTGCTCTCTTGGGTTTTGAGATAAATGATTACATTACCAGCAACTTTTTCTTTCTTTGTTGGCTGTTGCCTATCTGCTCCCTCTGCCTCAGGTTAACATTAACCTCTAGTGTTTATAGTTCACTGATCCCCTGACCCTGTGGAGCTCAGAGTGGCTCTGGGATGGAATACCTCTTCTGAATCAGCTGCTCCTTCATACTGGAAGAGTGGAAGAAACATCTTATAAAAATAGTCCTCAGGAGCCACCATCCACTGGGAGGCACAGTGTTATCTAGTGCTTGAGCATTATTACCTTTCTCTGAGGAGTGAAGGCAGCAGCTTCTTGTATTGGCTAGCAAATGAACTGGCAAGAGAAGAGAGAAGGAGGTGGGAAAAATCAGCAGTGGAAGGATGAGATGACCATAATCCAGGGCTGGGGAGCCAGTTGCATTTGTAGACTTACATCTATCAAAGCATATTTCTTCCAATTTTCCTGAGAAGCATGACAGAATATAATATATACCTGATGGATGAAAAGCAGCAGTGTCAGTAACTCCCCAGGTGACCAAAGGTCACAGTGAAATTTCAGTTCATCCATTAAATGGTTTTCTTGTTTGTGAGTTATTTTACATGTAGTGTTTTCATTATACACTTTAATTAATGGTGCTCTCCCTACTTCTTTACCTTCTCTTCTTTTCTTTTTAACCTCCCCTCAAAGTGGTGAATACTTATAGAGATATTTCAAGTAAGCAAACATTTTTTAAAATATAGCCCTATATTTTGGGCATGCCCTCCCCAGTCCCACAATGAGGATACAAACATTCCTCATTAATGACCTAGTTCAGTTCTTCCAACTAGGTTATTAAATTAATCGGTCGCTAAATGGGAAATTTTATGTGGTATGTACAATTTTCAGAATAAAGAAATAGTCAAAAGAAACTCCAAATTGATGACGTTGCTTTTATTTGCATAACTCTTACATGCAGTACTGTAACGTAGAACATGAAACTACAGTACTGTACTTTATACAGTTCAATCAGCCAAAATTACAGTACTGTATGGTAGAAGAAGCCACCGTATGTATACTGCTGCTTGAGTTCCTGAGTCATACGGCGGAATTCGGATCAAAAGTGAGCACCGTGTCTAAATCAGAACAGTCATTAACTGGGTAGGTCGTTAAACAGGGAACATCTGTGTTGAACTTCTTTAAATAGTTTTCCACAGAAATAAAACCGAGATGATGTTTAACAAAAATTCATATTTCAAGATTTTATCAGGTACTCATTTTAATGGTTTGCAGTATAGCATTCCCTGAGCACCTTATTCTAATCCAGGTTTTTTGTTTTTGTGTTTTTGGTACCGGGGATCGAACTCGGGTCCTTGCGCTTGTGCAGCAGGAGGCGAAACCACTGAGCTAAATTCCCGGCCCAAATTTTTGGGGTTTTTTTCTTGGTACCAGGGAGTGAACTCGGGACCTTGCGCTTGCGAGGCAGGCTCCAGAACCACTGAGCTAAATCTCCGGCCCTTAACCCAGGTATTTTTGAAACCCCTTGAGCCACTCACTAAGAGATAGCATAGGGTAAGACAAGGATCTCAGAATCTTAGTCTACTTAAAATCAACGAGGCAAAGAAAATTACCTTACTGCCTCCATGTCGAAAAGAGGCATCACCTGCATATTTGCAGCAGCAGCCTTTAAGTAGCGAGGAAAAGAGGGACATCTCTGAGCTAAAATATAAATAGGAAACTTCCCATTTTGTACTTGCCTCTCCTTCTTTCGCTCTTTCTCTTTACTTAAAGGAGTCTGTCCTTGCTACTTAAGTATCTCTTGCCCATTTTCTTCTCTATTTACTTGCCCTAAGTGCTTTTTGAAAAGCATCTACCATTAGTCATTTCTACCCTAGGGCTCATTTAAAGCAATGGTTTTGTTTTAAGAACACTAGTGATTTAAGTGTGATTTCTACCAGGGCAATGAGACCTTTGGTGTTTGTGAGAATTATCAAGGATCAGTGAACAAGTGGGGGAATATCTTGGGGTCCTGGTGACTCATCAGTTGGGAGTTACAGAATCCTGGACCCTGACAATGCTGCACTCTGTGTGGGTTAAGGGACCCAGAGCCCAGAATCCAGCTTGATTTCCACAATGATTTGGGCGGCGTTGTATTCCTGCCTACTCCTGGGAGTCCAGTCTGTTTTGGATCTTCTTCCTTTGATTGGTCCAATTTTTACAGTAGAGTAACAAAGATCTTTCCCCCCACATACCCTTTATTTTTCTTACAGTTTTCTTTTTTTATTAGAACATGTGTCCAGTACATAATGATTACATTCTTCATGGGGAGTTGGTACATGTATACAACGCACCTTAATTCTGTTTTCATTACTTTCCCCTCCCCACCTCCCCACTCCCTCCATGTCTTTGTCCTCTTCCTATTTGTAAAAGACTTATGCCCCTAATTCCTCTTATTTTGCTCTTTGTTTCTCTTTTGGGTTTCTCACATGAAACCATGTAATATTTAAGCTTGTGTGTCTGATTTATTTCATTTAACATTATGGTCTCATGGTGCATCCATTCTCCTACAAAGGACTCAAATGTATCCCTTTTTTATAACGGAGTAGTATTCCAATGTGTATAAATGTCATGTATTCATCTGTTAATGAACATACAGGCCACTTCCAAGATTTAGCTATTCTGAGCTGTGCTGCTATAAACATGAGTTTGCTTATATCACTGTGATATGATGCTTTTAACTCTTTTGGAGAGATACCTAGAAAAGGAATAGCTGCATCAAACGGAATTTCTATTTTTCATTTTTGAGACATCGCTGTATTGATTTCCATAGTGGTTGTGCTAGTTTACATTCCCAACAACAATGTAGAAGGGTTCCTTTTTTCTTGCATCCTCACCAGCATTTGCTATTATTTGATTTCTTAATGGTAGCCATTCTTTCTGGAGTAAGAAGGACACAAGCTGTTGTTTTAATTTGCATTTCTCTAATGGCCAGAGATGTTGAACATCTTTTTCATGTATTTATTGGCCATTGGTACTTTTTCTGAGAAGTTTCTGTTCATTTTAGTTACCCATTTCTTGATTGGGTTTTTTATTTGGGGAGGATCAACTCACCTGCAAATAATGATAGTTTTAAATTCCTCCTTTCCTATACGTATCCCTTTTATTTCTTTCTCTTGCCAGATTGCCCTGGGTTATGTTTTGAGTCCTAGATTGAACAGGAGTGGTAATAATGGGCATCCTTGGCTTTTCCTCGTTTTAGAGGGAGCGAAAGCTTTCAGCTTGTCCCCATTTAATATGATGGTAGCAGTAGTTTTATCATAAGTGGCTTTTATCAGATTGAGATAAGATGCTTCTATACCTATTTTTTTCAGGGTTTTTTTGTTTTGTTTTGATTTGTTTTTTGCTTTTTTGTATAGGAGATTGAACTCAGGACCTTGGAAACTGAGGAGCACTTTGAAGATCAGAGGAATATTAAAGTGGTCCATTAACTGACAGTTGAAACAGTGGACCTCAGATGTGTAATTTTTGGAAAGTCCCATGTAGATATGTGAAAATATTTTTTCTTTCTTTTAATTAAAAAATTTAGCTGATAAATTTTAACTGATAAACAGTTTTTAACATAAAAACTACATATTAGTGGGGTGTCATGAGATGTTCTATACAAGTATATATTGCATAATGTGAAAGCATCTCTTATTTCTCAGGATTTGGTACTAATACAGTAGGAGGTGCTAGGTGAGCATAATAAAAATGCTTTAATGTATTTATGGACTTTAAAGTTCCCACATAAAAAGGTGTTTAGATTAGTACAAAATGCATGCTTTTGTTTCTGTGACACATATACATGCTAAATTATTATAAGTCATATTAAAGTTTATTTAAAAATACATGGTCACATCAAAAAGCATATTTTACAGAGGTTAAAAGAGCAATAGTTTTTTATTACAAATTCTAAAAAAGAATCCAACTTTATAAGTAAAAAGAAACACTGATTATCATTGAAAACATTAAATTTAAAATCACTTACTAAACAAAAGATTTTTATGTTCACACAAGTCCCTTGTATTTGCTGGTTTTTACAGACACAATTTCTGTATAGTTTAGGCTCTATGAACAATTTCTACTATGTACAATGACAACAAAGCAATAAAAGAAAAGAACTGGGCACCACTAGTGGATATGAAAAACAAAGGGTCATCAGTCAGGTGTGGGCCAGAAACCAACCCTTGTTGACAGGAGTAAAGTTATTTACCAACTGGGTCTTGGACATGCCCTGGGCACCAGAAGGCTGGCTGCGTGTCTAGGAAGTGCAGCAGGCCAGGCTCTGCTATGCCAGTTCCAAGCAGCAGCCATCTCTTCCATGAGCCACAGATGTTCCTTGGTCCTTATTCATCTTGCCATACTCATGGGATATTGAGAGCTGAAACTGAGGACCCCAAATGACCTCATTTTCATTTGAAGTCTCTTACTTCATATTTTACCCTGTCATTCTAAAGATCTACTACACCAATCAGTAGCTATAAATGCTCACACATTGCAGGCTGCCAGACCCCAGAGCCAGTCTGAGGCCCTGATTTTGATCTCCGTGGTGGTGGCAATGCTCAGAGAAGGGTCTTTAAGCCCAGACTGTGGCACTGGTTTCAGGCATGCTGAATAACCTCCAAGCAGAATGCTCTCAACAAACAGTGTTACAAGTGGGTTGAGCTACCCATCTGTAATAAGACTACAATGTGTACACATAAACAATTTGTATTACAAAAGTCAACACCCAAACCAACTACAACAATAACAGATCAAACCTCTCGAAATCCAGAAAGGTATTTTAAAGTGTTTAAATATAATTATACAAGGAAAAATAAGCCTTGGCTAAATAACAAATTCAAACAACCTTATTTTCGTATTTTTATGACCAAAGAATTGACCTTTGCTGGCTTTATTTACTACATGAACTTCAGTACTTCCCCCTTGATTTCTAAGAATATTAAAGAACTTTATGAAGTAGAAAATGTACAAAGAAGGCACTGTTTTGGCACTAGTGAAAAGGATAATTTCACTCACCCCACCAAAAATCACACTAATCACATGACTTCATGTTTTCTAATAATCCATCATGCACACTCTAAATCCAATCCTTTGCAGGCCTGTGGAAATTATACTTTTGGTGTTGAATGTTACTTGATTCCTATCAGGAGAAATCATGGATAACAACCACTACAAGGGAGGGTGAGCCAGACAGAATCTCGGGACAATCTATCATGTATTTTGAAATCTCATGATATGCCCAAATTTAAAAGAGAAAATAAGGCTCAGGTGCTCCCTCTGTTGTCATTAGCACTGGAGGATAATTACTTCTCCTTATTCTCCCTGTTAAGTGCTCAAATAAATTTAGAAAACAATTCTGTAAAAAACAGGCTCTAAGTCAAAGTGTTTTATTAAAAACATTTTTTGAAGAACTACTTGCAAATACGTAGGACTTAGAAAACATTTTGGCTAACATTTAAAATAAGAGATAGTTTTAAAAATATTTTATTCATACAAATTAAAAGAAGACAGGCTCTCATCCTTTTAAAGATAATTCAGGCCCTGGGGATTTTTCGCTCAGTGGTACTGCCACCTACCTCCCAAGCACAAGGTCCTGAGTTCGATCTCCAATACCAAAAAAAAGGAAAGATAATTCAGAAACTAGTTTTTGTTAACTATGGTTGGTAATAGTAAAATTTTACATATCACCATTGAGATATTCAAATAATATACTATTCTTAGTTTCCCGAATTTATCTCTGGGGAAAACATGATTTTGCAATAATATGTATTTTAGTATATATCAAAGGTTCCTGTAAGTTTTTATTAAGAGTTTTAAAACTTGAGTTTGCATAGACACCTTGTAACTGTAGGGTTATATAGTAATTATATGGTAATTCACAAATGATTCTTTTTTTTTTTTTGGTACATGGGATCGAACTTGGGTTGCAGCAGGCAGCAAACCCACTGAGCTAAATCCCCGGCCCACAAATGATTCTTTTTTAAGAGTATCAAATTAAAATGCTATTATGAGAAGTTCTCACTAAAAATGCTAAGAGCACAGTTCCCAGCTTAACAAAGAAGAGTAATGTATGCTGATTTTACTCAATCACAATTAAAAGAATGTGTACACAAGTATTTAAAATTTTTACAGAAGAATTTATTTAATTTTGATTACTAGTCAAATCTATATACAAAACATTCTGGTAACCCTAAAAAAGTAAAAACATTTTGTTCAAAGAGTTATAAAGCAAAATGCAGCAATAGAGAGGTGGCAAAAAAGCTGGGTTTCACTAACAAACATCAGGGTGAGTATGTAAGAAAAGATGCAACAGAAACAAGTAAACAGGAATACCCTAATGTCTCCTACCCCTACTTCATTCAGATTATAAAGCACCTGTTATGTACTAGGTGATTTTATATTAGAAACATGAAAAATATTTCTTAAAGAATCTACCTATAGAAAATGTACATATAAAATTATATATTTTAAAATAGTTTATAACCTAAAATATATATCAATATAAAACATTAATTTTTCTCCATATAAATTGATTTTTTGTCCACATAACATCACATCCAAAGGCCATCATAAACCCAACTTACACTGATACTTGAAACACGTTCACTTATACACACATCACATATATAAACATGTTTACATACATACAACATGCATATTTATTTGAGTCTCCATAGAAACAAAACCTATGGTCACCAACAAAGCATCTCTTCATAAATATCCACGTATGTAAAGTGTTTGAATATGGAAAAAAGAGTTTTTAACTTAATTCTGCTCCTAACTGAAAACAGTGGGCATAATAGTTTTAGCTGCCATCACATGCTAAAATCTTGTATTTTGTTACAGATTTAAATATTCATATATGAAATTGCTCATATTTCCTGGGTGAAGGCCTTATTCTAGACTGATTATAGAATCAAAGGAGTCCTCAGTGTATTGCTAAAAATTTGTGATCACGCCTACAAAAATATTTTACCCCTTGCTTATCCAACTCTTCCTCTTCAGTAAAACAGCAAACTTGAAAGAGAATTCTGGGCTTCAGATTTTACCATGTGCATTCTGGAAATTGTGGAATGTTAATAACATCCTGCGTCAGGGATGCTACAACAGCAGCAGCCAGAAACCCAGGCTCTCTACCTATTTATCTGATATTTAATCACAATAAACTCTTGGTTACACAAAGTAATTGCAACTTGGATTTTAACAGTATCAGTGAAGTAACTGATCTCATAGATCATTTGTCAGAAAACAGATGTTTTCCTTGCCTTTCGATTACAAGATAAACTAGCATGCTTGGTAATATTCCCCATAGTGTTTTGGGAATGTCACCCACATGTAAGTGTCTAGTTTCTAGCCTAATCTAATAAACTACTTGTAGAAAATATGAAGAGAAAAACACACTGGAGATAAATAATCCACTAAAAATAAAATATAGCAATTAGAGAATCTTACATAGCAAAATTTATTTACTGATATACAAAGATCACTGTATTTATATAGTTTTAATTCAATTTGGTTAACTTTTTAGCTTGATGTTTTAAGTAATCATGTTCTTAACCAAAATATTTCCCCGCTTATTGATAAGTTATTGTAGAATACTGGAGCTTGTATTAATAGCCTTAGTATGCTCATTTAAAAGCAAATCAAATAAAAAGTGCTAAAGATTTATGGGTGGGAGAGAAAAACATGCCTGTTTCCAAAAGAACATCAGAGGCAAATTAGATCTGAATCCCTTAAATTGGGCAAAGAGCTCTTTTTTTTATTTTTTATTTTTTTGGTACCAGGGATCAAACTAGGGTCCTTGCACTTGTGCAGCAGGCGGCGAAACCACCGAGCTAAATCCCTGGCAAAGAGCTCTTTAATGCCTGGGTAGACACTTTAACATCAGAATACGGTAACTTTTCTTACATTCCTCCATCTTTTCCTCTTTTTCACACTGTAAAAACAGAAACCACTTCTGCATCCCCTCACATCTACAATAAAACAAAGTAAAAGAAACAAAGAAGTGAATTTTGTGCCTAATGAGATTAAAAAAGATTAACCATGATGAGGTGTGAAGAGATAGAAAAAAGTATGGATCATTCTATCATCTGTATGGTTTGGGAGATTTACTAGTTTAAGTAACTTTAAGAGGGATATCGGATGTCCACCTATCCAAGAATATCCCTAACTCTGATTTTTCAAACACATCCTCAGTGTGGCCACTGACACCAGTGTTTGGACTATGGGAACCACCTTCATGATCTAACTTTAAGGGTCCCCCATGGGTCACAGTATCTCTCTCCAGCCCTGACTGGTGGAGGTGATACATCATTCACAGCAGGTGAAGGGCTCGTATTTAAGGACCACTGGCACAAAGATAAGAGTTCAAAAGGATGTTGATGATGACATGGAATGGCACTCTGTCCTATATAGTACAGCAGAAGCAAACGCTCTTCCTGGCTAAAGTTTTAGCAAACTGTCATACCACGTAGGAAAATATATTTGTACTAACCCCATTGGTGGCATTTTTTTTGGTACTGGGGATCGAACTTGGGACCTTCCACTTGCGAGGCAGGCGGCAGAACCACTGAGCTAAATCTCCAGCCCAGAAAATGCTCATTTCTAATCCCCTCCTCTAACCCCTGGTCCAAGGTTAGACATCATGATGGCTAAGTGCACTTGTAGCCATGTCTAAACTGACATTAATGAAGCGTACAGTAATAAGGAAAAGCAACTATTATTTTCCCAACCACATAGGGCATATACAAATCACTTTTCAGTGATACGCCACCAGTTGTGACAAGACTGGAATAACATCACATAATAACAGTAAAACACCAAATAAATTGTGACAGTCATGTTCCCAACCACACACACACTCTCACACTATTTTGGGGATATTCATCACTGAGGAGAGAGCTCAGGAGGGCACATAATTCAACATTTGAGGAAATACTGGTTAGATGAGTAAGAATAAATTAGAGTGAATTATGTATGCAGCAAACCCACGACAACCTAGCATGATCATGACATTCTGTCAGGGTCTACTCAATGTAGGACATGCATGATAAGACTGTGGACCAGGTCTGCTCCTGCAAGCATTAGCACTCGCTTGTCTTTTCATGGAATATGAAAGGTAAACTGAGATTTCTTGGGTGATGGTCATTTGTTTGAATAGCAGATTTTTCTTCTGTCACTGCATTAATGTTGTCTGAACAAGCATCTTCATCATCTTCTTCATCCCTTGGGTTACCCTCCAGGCTGTGTCTAATGCCATAAGCAAAGTAGATCAAGAAGCCTTTGGGGAGAGAAAAAATAATCAACATTTTAGGTGTGTCAGGAAAGAACTGTTGTGGTATGGAAGATTTAATACAGAATTTAAACGGCCTTTTCCTTTTTCTTCTGTGCTACCATTAGAAGAATGTAATGCAAATACAAAATACTTCATGAGGGCTTCCTCCATAAATGTTTTCTCAATAGACGGTACCTCTTCATTTTTAACCTCCAAACTTCATAGAATGCACTTTTCTCTAAATAAATGTTTTTCAGGAAATGTTTATATGGAAAAAATTTGTATTTATGTTCTCAAAACTCAACATGTTTTAAAGAAAATGATGTGGGGTAAAAACTAAAATTATACCTTAATAAATATAAGTGGTAGATTATCCACCATGGTCAGGTATCGTGGAAAGCAAGTCTGGTATCAACAAAGAGGGCATGGACATGCCTTCCACATGTCACCATCACCAGGAGAGACCAAAGAACTGTATCTAAAGCAACTGTAACTAATAGCCATGCTAACCATGTGAAGATATCAGGCCATGTCTTACATATCCTCATAAGATAATTACATGTAGGCATTTTGCTGTGTTTATTTTAATAAACTGGACAAGAATTTTAAGTTGCTCTGAAATGACTCTTTTGGGCTTTATTTTTCTCATCCACAAGATGGAGAAATAAAATTGACATGGTTCTCTCTGATTATTGGGAGATTTGAATTTTAAAAGGTACCTGAATGGTAGGAGTATCTCAGAACATTTGCCTAATGTGGAAAAGTAAGCACTCTGATGTTCTAAAGATAGAACTGGGATAGGAAGAAACTAAAGAAAAGTCTTATTCCAGGAAAGGGGAGAATGTGCAATTCTCCACAGCCCATTAAAGTGGAAAGAAAATGACAAAGGTTTGAAAATTAAAATGTTAAAAGACCTACCAAGTGCCATCCAAATGCTGAATCTGACCCAAGTGTCTGCACTCAACTGCACCATCAGATAAATGTTCACCAGGATGCTGAGAGCTGGCAAAAATGGTAAGAATGGAACCTAAGGAGAAAAAACATCTTTTTGAATATACTCCTACTTTGAAAAGATACTTCTCAAATAATTTCAAGATGGTGACATTAATTTGACATACATACTTTCAGACTACATCAATAAGCTTATATTCTAACAAAAAAGACATCTTGAATGAAAATCCTTCTTCTAGAGATTACTAAAAGGAGAACATCATTTTAGATTGTTTGCTAAAGTTCAAAGTAACTGGAGAACTATCAAACCAGGTAACATCTACAACACCACCAGGATATAATGGGATTTGGGGTTCTGTTTAGATTAGGATTTACTGATCTAGTTCAGATATCAACAGGAACCCTGGAACTCTGGATACACATAGTAGCCTGGCAGATACTTCTAGGAGGCTCTCTTCACACCCCAGCCTGTTCCTAGTGCCAATGGGACAGGTGTTGGGAGCATTGCTACATAATTCTAGGGAAAAATCATTTGAGTAGGCCTAGTTCTCCTGCCTACAGTCCAGCTACGACATTCCAGACATAATTGCATTTTGGCCTCGGGTCACAACTGAGACCTCAGTGATCCGGGATGCTGTGATGCTCCAGGACAAGACCATACCTGCAGGAGACGCCAGAGAGGAACCAAATCTTCTTCTGCATAGTTCCTCATTGTTCTTAGATTTCCCACCCAGTCTTTTGTTACACCTCTTTTATCCCAATGTGAAGTACTGAAATCTACATATTCATTTGTTACATTTGTTTCTCCTGATGCACTAAATAAAAGGTGCTGCAAGTTAGGGGGTTCTTGTCTTTGCCGCCCAGAGCAGCACTGATCAGACCCAAAGCTCAGCTTCTTCTCAGTCTCATTTGTCTACCTTTCCTGTAATTTGCCGTGTGCTGCCATGGCTTGCAGGAGACTAGGACTTACTGCAGAGGTTCTGGTAACGTCCCCTTCCCCTGTTCCCTATAGACAGGATAACAAAAAGTTGTAGAGGAAAGGCTTTTGGTGGAAATAAATCTTTGAGAGAGGGTTCTAAGTTCTAAAAATAAAGCATTCAAATTACTTTTCTGATGTTTTACATTTAGGAAAATATTGTTTATTATATGGTTTTTGAGAAAGGGAATTTTCGAGACAAACAATGTAGACAAAATACTGAGACAAAGAGAACACATCAAAAATTTTGACACTCTTGCTCATTGGTTAACTTTGTTAAGTTTTTTTTGGGAAATAACTCACATACTAACACAAAAAGTGTACATTATATTTAGGATCTCTAATCCTCATGATACATACCATAAAGGCCACTTTTTGCTGATTCTGTGGCTGCCTCCAAATAGTTAGAACAACAGCAATGGAGAAAACAAGAAACAGCATGAGAAGGGCGAGGCTCCAGGCTTCCAGCCTTGAGATAGCTTGCACTCCATAAGTGGTCAGAATACTCAGGCCCAGCACAAGAAAGGCTGCAAGGTGATAAAGCATGTAAATCAGAGTCAGCACCCATGCTTCATTTGGATCTTTCAGTTCTAGCATTCTATTCTGATACATCAAGTTCTTTACATATCTACTCTGGTAAATTCAGAATCTTCCTTTTGTCTTTTCTTATTTTCCACTGTGAAAAGAAGTGGTCAGTTTCACCGAGTCAAGCAGCAGTGCTCATTTCATAAATATCTCAGAAACCAGCCTCTCCACGTGGAGCTACCATCTTGCTTCCTCTGCCCATGTACCTCTGGTCCTCATTTGCTACTCTCGGGCTATATCACAGGGACTGATGGGATATGCTGGGAGTGGATATCTTTCTTTTTAAAAATGAGGAACAGTCAATCTGTTTCAAACTGTTGCAAAGATGGATTGCTAATGCAGACAAATAGTAGTATGTAAGCTGCATCTTTTGTCCCTATTTCAGACTATAACATCATTCCACCTCTGATCACCAAGTCTGCATTAAAGGATCTCCCATTTGCTCTCAGAGAAACCTGCTCTTCTCTAGCGTGTCACCAATAATCTTGTACCAGCAAGGACCATCTCTCTCAACATCTTGAATTCCCAACAGTGCCTGATATACAGATGAGGTGCAATAAATGTCACTGGAAATACAGATAATTAGGTAACTGTGGATGAGCAAACAAGGGTTTTCTATGTTCCTTCCAAGTCTCATTGGGCTCCAGTTCCACTACTGGCAAGTGTGCCTGGCCTAATGCTTTCATACAGAGCAGCCTAATTGCCAATGAAATGTCCCAGTTTGCATTTAGGCTCCTCTTACCTTAAAGAATTTCTTCCTTTCTTCTCCAATCAAGTTATGTTAAACTTATCCTGACAGTATAAACATGAACTCAATTACTAATGACTATCGAGATGGAAATTTCAGGACTCTAGTTGGTAACTAACATATGCTAGGGCACCGTGGGGCCTTTGGTCCTCTTTCTTACATATATCTACTGGGTCTTTACCACACATGTAATGAAGATGGCTTACCTAGGAATCCTACCAGAAAGCTCACAAGAGATGCTGACTGTCTTGTAGGCAGAGCAGAGGGGCTGAAGAGGGTTCGCAGGCTGAAGCCCCGTCCTTGTAGCATGGTGAGCCGGGACTCACTTTTGGAGTCGGCAGTGGTACATGATCCCAGATCTTCTTTCTCAGGGGAATATTTTGGGTGCTCATAACATAAACCAGGCTGGTACCTATCCCCAAATAAATATCTGTGTCTTTATTCTCAAATAGACATTTGGTCCAAATGAATCCAGCATCTAAGACTCTAGGTGAGTCATCTTACAAAGTCCCAGTGTATGTGGTCAAGTGATACTTCTCGTGACTCCAGCCCCATAACCATGCTAAGCCAAGCCCTTTTTTTTTTTTTTTTTACAGGGGATGGAACTCAGGATGTTGCACTTGCAAGGCAGGCAAGGTGCCACTGAGCTAAATCCCCAGCGCCACAAACATTTTCAATAAAGTATTTGCAGCAACTATGAGTTTTCTCTGATGGCCACTTAATTAGAAAGTTATAGAGTAGATGCAAAATAGTTAAATTTTAAGATGAGGCAATTGTGACAATCGAATAATTATTTCTGAATTCACCTAAGTCCAAAGGAAGCATTGGGTAAAAACAAAATGGAAACTCCAGTTAAATATGAGCTACAGAATAACGCCTCCTCCTGGGGGGCTGGTATTCAAAAGCCTCATCAAGTCTGTGATAGTCTAGACTGTTAACTTGACTGATTGAGAAACACCTATGAAGCTAGTAAAGCATACTCTTGGGTGCATCTGTGAGGATGACAGGCACATAGGACAGCAAACTAAGGGGGCAGACATGTGCTGAATGTGAGGCAGCACCATCCTGTAGGCTGGAGGCCCAGAGGGAACAAAAGAAGGAGGAAGCTCGCCAGTGCAGACTCTCTTCCCTCCCCTCCTCTTCCTCCCCTTTCTCTCTCTCTCTCTGCTTCTTGTCTGCCAGGAGGTAAGCAGCCTTCCTCTACCATGCTCTTCTGCCATGACGTTTCTGTCTTGACACAGGCCTAGAAGCAATGGTGCCAGCTGACTATGGGCTGAAATCACTGAAGCCATGAGCAAAATAATCCTTTCCTCCTTAAGTTGTTACAACAATAGAAAGTTTGTTATAGCAACAGAAAGCTAACACACAGTCTACCCCTATCTCTCAACTTTCCAACCCAGCTCCTCTACCTTAACCCAAAAAAGCTTATCTAGTGATTCAGCCATCTCCCATCCCATGTACACTATTTTCCTTTATGAGTTTACCCTTCTTCTCTATAGCTTGTGTCAAGATACCATCCTGCTTCACCACCTAGTATCTACCCCAATCTTCCCAGTGCAGCCTTCTCTCCTGCTGAGCAGTCTTTGCTTATTTTAGAGAGTAACATTTTTTTCTCCATATAAAAAAAAATGCTTACTGTGGAAAAATACACAAAAGTATGCAGAAGTAAATTGAAACTACCCATAACACCCCTACCCAGTGCTAATCACTATTAGCATTTTGGCACAATTTCATCTAGGTATATATATACACATACACACACATACACACTACCTAAACCACTTCTTAATGTAAATTTATGCTATTATTTAAGTTCAGATGTTATACATATAGCTTTGTATACTGAAACAGAAATATTTATCCATATAATTAAATATAATTTTATACTGTACTCCTAAGTAGATTAATTCATCAATGAGCTTGTGTGTTTGGCAGTGGGGCCTGGTCGGAAGAGGCAGAACACTGGAGGCATGACCTGGAGTATTCTTGACCCTGGCTCTTCCCTTCTCTCTCTGCTTTCTTCTGCCATGCCATTCTACCTTGGAGCCAACCAACCACAGATTGAATCCTCTAAAATGCGTGAGTAGGGCTGGGGATTTAGCTCAGTGGTTTTGCTGTCTGCTATGCAAGCGCAAGGACCGGAGTTCAATCCCCAGTACCAAAAAATAAAATAAAATAAAATAAAATGCGTGAGTAAAAATAAACCTTCCTTCCTTTAAGTTTTGGGTGTTGGGATTTTTCTCAGCAACAGGAAAGTGACTAATACAACAGACATGGCCTCTCACCTTGATGAGACTATTAGGCCCTTGAAAGCAAGATGGAGGACACTGTCAACTGTCTTTTCCCCCTGGGCCCCACCTGGCACACACCCTTCAGAATCACTGGTAACTCACCTGAGGATGAGCACACAGGCTGCAACCAGAGAGTAGGCCATAAGTGTGCCAATGGACATCATGTCCACGAGAGCTTTCAGGTCAAAAAGAAATGCCATCACAGCTATTAAGAAAAGAAAGTAAAGAAAGGTAGAGCAACAGCCTCCTGATGAGATTCCACACAGTTCAGTCTCTTTTAAGTCCGAGACAGATCACTGGCATTTTTTTGTTTTAGTACTAATGGTAAATCAAAAAAAGTATAAAAAATGTTTCTCAGTTTATAAGATGTCCTTTAGGTCACATAAATGGCTAATAAGACTTGGAAAACTTGTGCGCTCTCTTGCAAGTACAGACACGTCTACTTTGATTTTTTACAATGTACTTGTCCACACAACATGAAAACATCAGATGACAGAAGATCAACCATCTTTTGTTGTGCCAGAAGAAAAATATTACTAGGAAATAGTAACTAGCTTGTTTTTAAAAATAAAAAAAAATTCAAAGTTTTATTACAGAAGTGAAAAGTCATTTTAATTTTCAGCTGTATTAAAAGTTATACAACTCAAAATTTTTAAATAATTTTGACGAAATTGATGACTTTCAATTAAATTATATCTTATATAGACTACATTTTACTCTTTTAAAGCTACAGCTTCCAAGTGTTGACTGATTAGATGTCAAAGATCAATTTTTGATCCTGTACACCAAATCCCAATAAAGTTAGAAGGTAAAATATAATGTTAACTTGAATTTTTAATTTACCACATAATAGTCCCTATCTTAGTAAGCAGGTAACACCACATTCAATTTACTTGGTGTTCCAGAACTCTACGGAACTTTTCTAGCTCTGATCTCATCTTCAAGTCAATGATCCTTTGAGGTGGAAATTTCATTTTGGCTATATAAAATGACCAAAACCCTGGCAGTTTCCCTTGGTTTGGCCTTTTGGAAATACCTCCATCTTGTAGAAAGGTTAACTTAGCAAGGCTACAATCACTTGATACAGGCAGAGTTCTACCTAAACCAACATCTCTATGTATATTCCTTCACAATAACCACATCTTTTCTTTATTCTTTTTTGTAGTGCAAGGCATTGAATTTATGGCCTCACATATGCTAGACATTTTTCTTTAAATATACTATATGCCTCACTATGAAAACTCTTCATTGTTAGGATACATATTAGATTATTAAAATTTTAGTATGTTTTTTGAGGATCATAGATAGCCAACTAAGGTAGCTGAGAGAGGAAAAAATGATTATCTGTATCAGGTCTCTGGTCTAAGTTAAAAACAACTATAATAAGGTGTGGGAGTACAAAATAACAAAAATATAGTATTTTAGAGCATTAAAAGCATTCTATTATAATTATCTCTTTAAAATTAATGTCAGTATTTTATTCTGCTAAATTATATTCTTCCTGAAGGAACAAGAAGAATAAATTATTTTTAAAATTCTGAATATAAAGTGGAATTATTACTGGGCAAGATTTTTACTGGAGAGAGTAAAAGGTTTTAGGAATTAAATAAGATATGTGATCCTTGTCAAGAAATATTTATGAACTGTCTTTAATGTAATAGACTACTTTGATCACAAAATGAGCTTTGGATCATCTAGCACAATCTTCATTTTGTGGGGACAGAAATCTAAGCCTGAAAAAATATATAACTTGACCTTTCAAAATACAGTATATCTTATCAAAAAGATCAAAGCTATTAGAAAATGTTTGCTACTAAAATAAAGCTGATTAGGTGAGCACTTTCTGATCCTGAAAAAGAGTCCGCTTCATATATAATGAGACATTAGCATTCTGTAACCTAATTTCCTAACACTTCAGAGCCTCAATAAAAGGATGAATTTCTAATGCCAAGACTGTCACATTTTATACAGCTATAAAGTTTGCTAAAGTCTTCTCTTGCTTCCCATAACAGTACCTTTAAGGTTGTCCTCTTAATTTACAGAATCTGAAAACTTCCTCATGCTGTAACAATCTGGCCAAAGGCATCTTGCATGAATATTAAGACATGTCAAAATGTAGGCAATCTGGATTTTCTGAACATAACTTGCATATCCAAACTGTCAAAAGGACAACTAGATTCCTAATGGGGTCTGAAAGGATGCTAATCTAGAGGACCAAGATGCCCAGGAATCAGGGATGCCCACTCTACTAAAAGCAATAAGCACAATGGCCAACTATAAGCAATCTCTGACATGTCTCATGCTTGATTAAAAATGGGTGGTTTAGTTTTTTTAAAAACCCTCAGAGATGTTGAACATTTTTTCATGTATTTGTTGGCCATTTGTACTTCTTCCTCTGTAAAGTGTGTATCTGTTCATTTCACTTGCTCATTTCTTGAGTCAGTCTTTTATTTTACATGGTCTAACTTTTTTGAGTTCTTTATATATCCTAAATATTAGTCCTCTGTCTGAGGAATAGCTGGCAAAATTTTTTTCCCATTTGGTAGATATTTCTCTTTACTTTACTGATTGATTCCTTTGCTGTATAGAAGTTTTAAAATTTGATATAATCCTATTTGTTGATGCTGCTACTTGTTGTGCAATTGTGGTTCTGCTTTGAAAATCCTTTCCTACACCTATGACTTCTGATGTTTTACCCACTCTCCAAGATGTCTGTAAACTGCATGTACTGCAAACATGTACTAATAAAAAAATCCCAGAGTCATTAAGTTCCTATTACCAAAACTAGGTAATTAATTATTCTTCAATTAAAATTTTCTGTATCAAAAGTAGAATTTTATGTGCTCATTCACAAATTACAAATAGTGTAGAATCTTTTGCACATTTGTTAGAATCCCGAATCACTAAAATAATGAAAGAATAAACGTCCCAAAAGATCAGTTAATCATGAATTTCAGTGCAGAACCAGCACCACAATTTTCACATGTTAATCCCAATACTCATACACCAATTTAGCCGGATTTTGTTCTTAACTTACATGCATAGCATGCAGATCCTCTTAGTAAGTCCACGCATGCGCACAAAATGTTCCCGTCCAATGTTTGTAAAGCTTACCAGAAAAGACCCCTGCAGTCAACGTGGCAGCAACTGGTGACTGCCTCTTACTCAGTCTGGCAAGAAATCTAAACAGTAAACCATCCCGGGCCATGGCAAACAGAATGCGTGGTAAAGGAAACATAGAGCCCAGAAGACTAGAACAGAAAAATCCGTAATCCACATGTGAGTTATATAAAGTACTAATCTAGACAGGTAAATATATAGGTACAGATAGGATCCATTAAGGTACAGAACAAACAATTCAAAAAACTTAACAACAAAATAGAAAACCACCTATTTTTTTCAGAGGCCTTGATGAAAAAGATTTCCCTTTTCTTGATAAAAGTCAACTCTCTCACCTGCCACTGCACCCGATGATAAAGTAGCAATTACTGGTGTCTTCGTTTTGGAATTGATCTGAGCTAGGCATTTGAAAAGCAACCCATCCTCCGCCATAGCATAGATTACACGAGGCATTGGGAAAATGGATCCAAGAAGACTGAATAAAAAGCAAAGACATGCAGTATGGCAAACACATTCATGCACGATTACAAACCAGACTGAAATTAGGAAACTGTATAAAAATCAGCATGATAGTATGATTATGAAGTAATTACTTTTTAAGTGCACTATTATTGGGCATTTAAAAATATTTGCCAATCTTGACCATCATGCTACTCATTATTCTGTTGCAGATGTTTGCCCAACCAAATTATCAGTCTATAAACAATATTGTAACTAATTTGTGTGTACCAATGATTATTACTGAATTAAAATGAAGTAATTAGACTTTTCAAAAAACCAAACCAATATTATTATGATGTTTCTAATGGCAATAACTCAAAAAATTAAATTTCTAAATTAAAATGCAATTAAAGAAGAGATTAATTTTACCCCACAGTAAGTTACCTCTTTTATTCAATAATTTTGTATTTATATGACCATTTAAAATCATATAGCTTGATCTTTGATCAAATTAGTAATAATTGTCAGCACAATAAAATAGTCAAAGAAGAGAAGGGTTAAAAAACGACTAACTGTAAATTTAGTACATAGAAGTAGCCAAAATTAAATGTTAGTAACAATGAAATTTAGTAAGATATTTTTTGCTAAAGATGTTTTGAATTACTTCTGTTTATTGGCTGCACCATCCCATATATGACTTAGTTGTGAAAAATAACATACAAGGGGAAAGATTTTATTTTTAAAAATTCACTCTCGGGATCTGAAATCTTGGTGGGGATCCCTGCGGCCTGGCTCCCCACTGTAAGTCCAGATCAGTAGCACTGCTGGCCTCAGTTTCTGGCAGCGGCCTGCAGGGAGGCACACAAGAAGGGGAAAAATAGATTTTAAAAAATCCATTTTCATTTTATCTTTTAATAAGGGTGGATTAATCTTGGCCACAGATGAATCTGTCCATCACTTCTAAGACCATGATGGCACAGGCCTTCACAGTTCAGACATCTCTCTCTCTCTTTTTTTTTTTGGGTACCGGAGATTGAACTCGGGTCCTTGAGCTTGCGAGGCAGGCGCAGAACCACTGAGCTAAATCCCCGGCCCTCAGACATATCTCTTTTGTGGTACTGGGGCCTGAGCCTAGGCCTAGCTATAAACTAGCAGGCAAGCTTTCTGGCACAGAGCTACATTCCCACCCTACCTCACCCCCTTGAGACATGGTCTCACTAAGTTGCCTAGGCTGGCCTTGAACTTTCAATTCTGCTGCTTTAGCCTCCTGAGCAGCTGAGATTATAGGTGTACGCCAAGGAATCTGGCTTACAGGGTTAATTTCTAACCGTCACTTAATCTTATTTTCTCTAGAAAATATAAGAAATTTTGGACAAAAAAATAAAGCTAGGTTGATGAATTATAAGCACACATTTCTATTTTAAAATGACAGGCTACATAGCTTCCACTCACACCGACTACTGTATTACCTCTTTAAAAATTTTGTTTGGTTTTTTGTTTTTGTTTTTTTGAGACACGGTTTTGCTATGTAGTTCAGGCTGGCCTTGAACTCACTATATAGCCCAGGCTGGCCTCAACCTTGTGGTGATCCTCCTGCCCCAGCCTTCCCCAGTGCTGGAATTATAGGCTACCATGCCTGGTAACAGATTATTACAAGGACTTCAGAAAATGTCAAGTCTGCATGCAGTTTCAGACTGTCTGAAGCACTTCAAATGACCCCAGAGCCAGCAGAGACATACTAGAATAAGCATCCTAAAGTTTTACAATACGTAGATTAGATATATGCATATGTGACATGTATTTGTGTGTGTACCAATGCCATATATATTTATATGGAACCTTGGACCAACATTATCTTGAAAAACTCTCTTTTAACTGATGAGGGAAAGTTTTTTTATGACTTAGGATTTTTAATGGCAATTCTGGGCAAACTATTCAGTGAATACATAGTTGCATAATATGTTCCTCATGTTAGGATATTTTTAGAACATACAAATATTTTTTAGACATTGACTATACTTTGCAGGAACCCAAACAGCCCCAGTCCCAAAGCCAATGGAATGTACCTTGTTGACAATGCACAGAGGGAGCCTGCTGCAACAACATACTTGGCGGGGCCCCATCCAACATACTCAAATGCTACCGGAAGGGGACTTTTTTCATCAAGGAGGTAGTATGGCATCATAAGTGTCAAAGCTGCAGAGACTCCAAAGTAGGCCATAAAACAAACAAGCAAAGAAGTCACTATTCCAATAGGAATAGCTTTCTGGGGATTCCGGACTTCTTCACCTAAAGAAATACAAAAAAACCACAAAAAGCAATGTGTATGTTTAATAAGCCACTTTTAGCCAAAACAACTTAATGTGGATCAAATTCTCTCTTCCATAGCATTCTTACTCTGCTTTTGTCCCTTCTGTTTTTTTAGTGTGATCCACTTATTTTACATTAAATTTCCCCTTTTTGTAAGATTTGACATTTGAAGTATCCCAAACATGATTAGTTATAAGGCCATGCAATGACAAGAAGCTAGAAGGAGCACCGCAAGAGTGATTTAGACATGAGGACTTTGTGGTACAGGATAAAGGGAAAATGACAGAGAATATTTTGTCCACTAAGGAAAAGTCAGTTTAAGAACATAATTATTTGGAAGTGATAGCACATCCACATAGATTAAGGGCAATAATCATGAATTATATATGTCAGGGATTTCACAGCTTGCAAAATATTTGTCGTATGTGTACCTTGGCAATCTTTGTACTGCTCTCCCAATTTTACCAATGCAGAAACCAAGGCTTAGAAAGTCTCACTAAGTGTCTTTTAAAAAAAATCTTATATAGCAGATGTCACCAACAGATGTGGAATTAGCACCCTTCTTATCCCCAAACCAGCTGTCTTTCCTTGACCCTCTGCTTCCACACATAGCTTCTCCTGTGGTATGGCCGACACCTTGCCTTCCATCTAGATCCAAGACACTGCTCTTACCAGTTGTTGCAATGCAGTCAAATCCCACAAAGGCATAAAAACAAGTTGCAGCACCAGCCAAGGTTCCTGCAAAACCATATGGCATAAAGCCACCAGCCCCATAGATACTTGTTCCATTTTCAAAAGGTGACTCTCTAGAAGAAAGAGAACAAACACATTTCAAAGTCATATTTATAGAAACGTGTTCCATCTAGGAATTTGAAACTATATCTTTGGAAGGCCACTGTGTTCTTCAGCTCTTTGAAACTCATGTATGTGAAATTAAAACCTTATTATCTCAACCTGTTTTAGAGAATGTGGTAGGAGCCTCACACTAACCCTCTTATGTCACTGTCTTGGTTACTTTTCTCTTGTTGCTGAGACAAAATACCTGATGCAAAGTTAAAGGGGAAAAGGTTTATTTAGCTCACTCTTTGTAGAGGTTTCAGTCCATAATTGGCTGGCTCCAAGGCAGGGTGGCATGGTAGACAGGCATCACAGAGGAGAAACAGTTCATTATGGGCAGAAGATAGCAAAGCAAGCAAGCAAGGGACCTTAGCTGCATTTTTGGGGGGAGGCTTTTATAATCTAGGCTACCAGGATTAAGGCAGTGCCAATCCAATCAATGGACTGATTTATTAATCACTTACCCTCAATCTTAGCATTGCATTGTGACTCAATCACATGCTCTAGATCCAGACACCTTTGAAAAAGCCCTACCTGTGACTGCATGAGGCTTTGGGGGGGGGACATCTAGACACAGCAGTAACAGTCACAGATATCCAACTAGAGGCTGATCACCAGTAAATATATATGACTCCCAGACCACCCTGCCTGCAACACAAAGGAAGCCAGGATTTTGAGAACAGAGACCATTGTGGGCCATGTGCTGTAACACTTTTTGCTTTAAGAATCCATTCTTCAACTTATGAAGTACAAAGTAAGGCAGAGTACACATCTTTAAAATTCTCTAAGAAGTGAATTTATTAAGTGAAAAAGTGAAACAAAGTTCCTAGGCTGATTAATAATACTGAAGTTGAACATTATATGTTAAAAACTGTATAAAATCAGAGGATTTATAATTTTTCTGTATCAGAATGACTACAAATCACATATATAAAGAATAACAAAGCCTGGTGTGGTGGTACACACCTGTAATCTCAGCTACTCAAGAGTCTGAGGCAGGAGGATCACAAATTCAAGGCCAGCCTGGGCAGCTTAGCAAGACCTTGTCTTAAAATAAACAGGGCTGGGGATATAGGTAATGATAAAGCACTTGCCTGGCATGTGCAAGGCCCTGGGTTCAATCTCTAATCCTCAAAAAAAAAAAAAAAATCAAACGAACAAAAAAAGAAAAACATATAGAGTACCTTACTCCACATAGTATATGTTTTTGTAATCTTATTTCTGCTATGCAACTAGTAATACTCCCCAGAAAACAAAGACTGAAATTAACTAAAACTCTGAAAGAATGAAACTGAATGGTAGTCTCAAAGGATGCAGCTCAAAAATACTCATTGTTATGGGGCAAACTGCTGGGGAGAAAGGGACAAGTTCTTCCAGTAGTTAGGCTCTCTCCTCTCTCTTCCCCTAAACTCACAGCAGAGTTGAGGATGGGAACCAGCCCCAGTTCCCACAATGAGCACACCTATACCTTTATGTCTGGAGGAGAGACTGCAAAGAAGGAGCCCTCTCAGAAAGGCTTCAGAAACAAGAAATCTGAGAACCACTGCTCTACACAAAGCCTTCACATGCACCCTCTTAAAATGTAACATTTTTTTAAAAGGGAAAAACTCCTAAATATTTTACCTGGCACTTGCTGATATATTTTTGAGAAACTCTTCACTGATTTTCCAGTTAGCCACATTTCCTTTCACAAACCCAGCAACCATGACAAAGAGAAGGACTAAGATATTAACAGCTGTGAAGAATTTATTCACCCAAGCAGATTCTTTTACTCCAAAAGACAGGAGACCTATGGAAAAAAAAAAGGCATTTTACTTTTTACTTGTAGCACAGACAATGACAATTTGAAGCAAATACAGGCTTCAGGATATTGTTGCACCTACATTCATATATTTAACTCCTATGTATCCATTTCTACAGCCAGTTCCTACTCCTTAGTCATCTAATTGTGAAAGTGTCTTCTAGACATAGGTGCTTTGATTTCTGGAGGCAGAATAAGCTAACAGGAGATTCTACACTAAGAAATATATAAGTCTAGTAACTGGCTATTACCAATGGCAGGTAAATATAAGGTGATGCTTAATTTTAATAGGTTGCTTTTCTAAAAAGCCCCTTTAAGCCTAAAGGTTATGAAATATTCTTAAAAGCTTAATCATATGTCTGCTATATATTTACTGAGCACAAGAACAGAAAATAATTCAGTTGTTATGCCAGAAGTTCTCTGTTAAATCTACTCTTATTTCAATGGCTTTATTTTATACTCTGATTGTAAAAATAAGTTGAAGACATAGAAGTATGAAGAAAACAATAATCAACTGTGATCCTCCCTCTAGAATTCTGCACACACACATATTTCGATGTCAATAAACATAATTCCACTGTAAAACAAAAACAAAAACAAAACATAACAAGGTCTTAGCACATTGCCCAAGGTATCCTTAAACACAGGGTCCTCCTTCCTCAGCCTCCCAAGTATCTGGGACTATATGCTATTGTGCCCAACTATAATCTCATTTTTGACAGCTGTATGATCTACTATATGGAAATACCATACTTTAACTCATCCTTTATTTATAGACAATTAGATCATGCTTAGGTTTTTATTTTGTATAATTATAAACAGCACTGACATCACCATCTTTTTATAAATTTCTCTCTATGCTTTCTAATTCTTTACAATAGTTTTCTCTAAGTTAACCATGTATCAAAGGATATATACTTTTATACAAGGCTTTTGATTTATATTGTCAAAATATTCTACAGAAACTATGGCCCCAATAAAGATCGCCCGTTTTTTCTACCGAGTTATTCTGTACATATTCATTTATAACATTTATTTATGTATTAATGCTATAAGTGTTACAGTATACACTTTCCCTGTTTAACATTTGCTTTTTAAGTTATTTTATTTTACTTTTCTCTGGCATTAGGGATAGAATCCCAGGACCTTGGCATGCTAGGAAAGTGCTTTACCACTGAGTTATTCCCCTAGCCCTATCATTTGCTTTTAACCTTATTGTTGATTATGTAGAGATAATAATTGGAATAATCTATAATTTTTCCTTTTTAGTTCCTACTTTTGATAAGATCTTCCTTAACATTACCCCAAAAATAGTAGCTTTGTTTCCTTCCAGTTTCTTTGTAAATATTATACTTGTTATATTTGTGTCTTTAATCCATCTAGGATAAGATATAAATTATGGACTTAAGAGAGTTTATGTTTTGCCACTGGAGAAATGATTGCTATGAAAGGATTATGCCACAGATTTACTGGCTTCTTTCTTATATCCATACCACCCACCATCACACAGGCAAAATTTTCCAAGCAGAGATGAGAAAAGTTAAATTTATTTTTTATTTTATTTTATTTATTTT